TAGTATAGATCGAAAATATAGGCAGTCACATGAACCAGCAACTCAGCCACACAAAGAAACACCAATTTGTATGTGCGTACGTACGTACGTACGTAAAATTAACAGTTATTATAGCAACAAATATTGCATTAAATAATTAAACTTCGAACTAAGTTTGGAAATATCAAAAAATTTACGTAATAAATTTTAACGTATCAGTCACCCGATTTGTCACATCTAAAATTTTAACATATGATCTTTCTACGTTACACAAATCGACGAAATTACAGTTTTAAAATTTTTGCCTAAAACTTTAGTTGAAATATACAGTGTTCTTTTACAAAATTATTCTTGAGGTTTTTACGAATCGAATGGTGTTTGGATCATACAAAATAAACCGCTCCTTATAAAATGATACACCCCTAAAGGTGGGCAATTATTTTACATACTTTCGACACATTCTTTCTGAGTTTGCAAGTTTTTTACATAAAAAGTGGTTCACTAGGTGCGTCATAAGGAGAGCTTTCAGCAAAATGCATCTTCGAAAGGCAGGTACATTATGAAAATAACGCAGAAAATCAAGAAAACTATTTTATAGTAAGTAGATTATGCTTAATTCAAGGCATTTTATTTAACTTTATTTGCAAAAAGTTTTTTTTTTAATAATTTTTATTTGATCTAAAAAATAGGGTTGCAATTATAGCAGTTAAGTACAAATAAATCTATCCTAATTATTCTTTCTTTTGTATTGATTGTACCAGTGATCTCAAATTCTTTTTCGATCCCAATGATCAGTTATATTTGACAAACTATTAACTAGTTTATCAATAATATTTGTAGGTAAAAAATTAGAGCTTTCATATTCTTCAAGTTCTTTTAGAATCTCTTCTTCGACATTTGTAGTTTTGTGTGTTGTATACTTTTTCTTAGGGGTATAGATCCTGAAGAAGCACAGGTTTTAGATAAGTCTTTGTTAGCCTCAACTTCTATGTCTTCTGTTGTTTGTGAAGGATCAACTATTTCTATTATTGTGTTATTAGCTTCTTCTCTTACACAATTTTTATTTTTTAGCACATTCATAGGTATTATATCCGGTATACCTTGTCCTTTCTTTACTTGTTTAGCAGTTTTAAGAATATCCTGCTTAACAATATTATTCAACCTATTAATGTCTTTTTCATAGGAGATAAACATCTGTTGATAATCCTTATTTGTTAATTGTGTAGTTTTTTCAAATAAGGGATGAGATTCAGGTTGCTGGCTGCTAAATGCTAATTTTAGTTTATTAATAGCTTCTATAGAGTTTCAAGATGGCCTTTAACTAATTGTAATTTTTTGTTTACCACCTGATCTCTAGCAAATTCTGAAATTAACAAATTAAGCTGATTGTATTCATCCTGTGCTGCTTTTATGTTTAGTTTTAAATTTTCTAAATCCATTGCATAACTAGTTAAATTTTTCTAAAGAAATTTTACTCCATATGTTTCTAGAGCTTTGTCTTGACCCAAGGATTTCTTCCCATATTAAATTAATAGAAGGTACAAATTGAAGATCTTGAAGCAATTGTAGATTATTTTGAAGATCTGATAAAAATCGAGCAACAGATTCAGTATACCTATTTTTTCTTGTAGTAGAGAATAAAGGTGCAAATGCCATCAAGCTATATATTTGTAGATCGAAATTTGCCATCTGAATACCAAGCTTATGTAGTTTCAAGTATTCTGCCCACTGGTAATAATTGTACTACACTTTAAGAAGATTGTTATCTTTTTTATAAATCTTACTACTTGAGATATTTTTTTCTTGACAATATTGATGAATTGCAGTTCCTACTGCTACTCAAATAAACTTGAGTATTCAAAATGTTGACTGATAATCAACAATTTATCAAGGAACTTAACACCAAGTTGTGTAGCAAGCCCAAAAAGTCCATAACTCAAAAAGGCAGCAATTAGTGTACTGCATATTGCCTTGTTTATATGCCATGGTTCTAAAATGCAGTGTACTGTTTGCTCTTCACTCTTGTAATTTTTCATGTGATGATAAATTGCTTTGTCACATACCAAGTTTAATATACCATTTTCCATATATCTGAAATTATCTAAAAACATATCGATGGCCTTGTGAATATGCTTATCTTCACTTGGTGCCTTTCCTAGTTCAAGAATTACAACATTTGGAGGGGCTACAAAAATCACTGAGTTGATTTTCTCTCTAAAGCTGCATCAATATTTTCAACACCAAACTCTGACTCTTTGTAAATTAATTAATTAAAAATCGTATTTACTTTTGTTTGCCATTTTTCTATAAAAGGACTTATGCCAAAGTGATCATGATCTTCTAATAATTCTGTATTTAAGAAGTCAAATTCAGAACATTAAAATTGAAAGACTATCCGCACTGTTGTATGAGCAGTAGAATGAACTGCATCAAAAATATTGCCATATTGAAAGGTTTTATCCTTTGTATTAATATTGTCTATAGCTACAATGTTTAAAATATTTGAACCTGTATCAAGCCTTGATCGAGATTTTGCAGCTAACATTCTTTTTTTTTTGGGTACATACTTCATAATCTTTAACATATAACACTACTCAAACTG